GCCTGGCCTCGGGCCGGGCTTGGGGAGAAGAACTACTCTCAAAACCCCATCAAGCAAGCAGGTATCAAGCAAAAAAACTCTTGAGACCCTCTCCAGGTAAGATCCAGGTAAATGTAATAGTGATGAAGGCCAGAAGGTCCTTTGACTACTTCCTAGGTATAAAATAAAGGTAGAGATCACACTTTTCTGGTATTTTCTATACTTTTGAATAAAGATCTACCATTAAAAAGGAAAAAGCAAAAAAATTATTATTTAGGGGAGGCAGGCGGCACAGCACAGTTTGGATGACAATTTTCATGATGCCCACATTCTGGACGACAAGTGTGCAAAAATGTGTCAAGTGAGAAAAGGAAAATTCATTGCTTAAAAAAAAAAAAAAATTGAAAGTGGTAAGAAAATCCTTGAAGATTAACGGGTTACACTGCAATGATTGGTTGTTATGAGAGCACGACAACGTTACCAATCTTTGAAAAGAACATATTGTAGGTCTTGTACTTGTGCACAGAACAGAACAACAAAATGTCGATTAGTACAGTTGACTTCGTTCTCGACTCAACACTGGGGAGCCTGGGTTCGATTCCCAGATGGAATACAAAAGGTTCAATCTGTTTTTTTCACCTAATTCCCCTGTTCACCTAGCAGTAAACAGATTCCTAGGAATTGGACAATTTTTGTGAGGCTGTATCCTGAGGAAGTTCAGTCGTTTAACCCTAAATGGAACTTAAATACCCACCTAAAGTATATATGTATACTGTATATATGTATGACAATTGGGAATAATTATTATACTCAAACAAATTGAAACATTTAGGGTATTTTATGGAAACATGTTAGAATAACAAAATAGCCCACATACAGTACTTCCGCAGTTCTTATAAAAAGTGAATGCACAGTCTTTAACCCTTCAGTTGCACAACAAATCATATGAAGGGTTGAGTGAGTTGCTATAAATTGCGCATCCCATCATATTATATATTGGAGTACTACGCAAGATTTAAATGGCCCGCGGATACACGGGGTTCACCTCACCTTCATCAGGGCTCTTGTAAACAGACGCCATTTAAAAAAAAAAATCGTGGGCGAAATTCTTGGGTGTGAGGGCCTCAGTATAAAGTGAGCCACCAAGCCTGATGCACGCAGCATGAGCTCACAGCACTGCTGTTCAGCTTGTGACCACAGCATTGACTAAAAATGCCATAATATACATGTTCATGCTATTATTTAGCGATGATAGTATTACAGAAGACCCCTGTGATAAAAATGACCAGGATTCTGATAATAGCAGGATTGTTGTGATAATTAGTGCTGTAGTGGGAGGAGTAATCTTGGTGGGGAGGAAGATAGCATTGTCTGCTGATTCTGTGTGACCATCTTTTACTGTCTGGACTCACTATACCAGCTTAGTTGTATGCTATGGTAAACAAAACATGCAGATACTTATATATAACGTCTGTATATAAAAGCAAAAACAGTATGGTGGGAGGAGAATGGTTGCAAGTCAGGTGAGGTGAGGGAGGGAGTGGCAGCCAGTGGCGGGTTGCCACCGCCACTCAGCATACCAACTTAGTGGTTTGTTATGGTGAACACGAATGTAGATACTTATATATAACGTGTATATACAGTGTAATAACAGCAAAAGGAGTGTTTGGAAGAAGCCATTTTGGTGATGGGTGTGTGGCAACATCTGCATGATTTGTCATGTTGGTAGGGGTGGCCACTATGCTCTTTGGGCATTATACCGGCTTAGTTGAACAGTTATGGTGAACAAAACATGTAGATACTTATATAATAATAATAATAATAATAATTTTTATTTAGGTAAGGTACATACATAAAGAGATTAACAAAGTTTGTTGGCTTTATAGATAGAGCTAGTACATACAATGCCTAAAGCCACTATTACGCAAAGCGTTTCGGGCAGGAAAAACATTAATGACTACAGCTTAAAACTAATGGGAAAAAAGAAAAGATGTGATGAGTACATATAAAAAATAGAGGTAAAAGAGGGGGGAACATTGTTGAAAAAGCAGCACAAATACAATTACAAATTATTACAGAAAATTACATTCAAACAGCGTTGATTTGAAAAACAAAAAAACAAAAATATACATGGGTTGACAACAGGGGGGTAAGGTGGGTTACATGGAATTTATTAGGTATAGCTTCGTTTTTAACTTAAACTGGTTGAGAGAGGTACAGTCTTTAACATGGTTGGGAAGGTCATTCCACATTCAGGGCCCCTTGATTTGTAGAGCATTTCTGGTTTGATTTAGTCGTACTCTAGGAATATCAAAACTGTATTTATTTCTGGTGTGGTGCTCATGGGTTCTGTTACAACCTTCTATGAAGCTATACAGTTTAACGCCTGTATATAGGGTAATAACACCACAAACAGTATTGTTGGGGTGAAATTTTAGTGCGTCTGACCTTTAATGTGTGAGGGAAGCAGTCGCTACCTGACTGTGTGTAGCGACGTCTCTTAGTACCTGAACTAACTATATCAACTTAGTTGTACAGTTGGATGAACAAAACATGTAGATACTTATATATAACATCTGTATATAGTGAATAAAAGCAAAAACAGTATTGTGGGAGGAGAATGTGGGTGAGTCAGGTGAGTTGAGGGAGGGAGGAAGCAGCAGCCAGTGGCAGGCTGCCACTGGCTGCCACTCAGCATGCCAACTTAGTGGTTTGTTATGGTGAACACGAATGTAGATACTTACATGTAACGTCTGTATATAGTGAATAAAAGCAAAAACAGTATGGTGGGAGGAGAATGTGGACGAGTGAGGTGTTGAGGGAGTGAGTGGCAGCGAGTGGCTGGCTGGTGTGTGCTGGTCACTCCTCATTGCTTTTTGACTCATAATACCAACTTAGTGGTTCGTTATGGTGAACAAAACATGCAGATACTTATATATATATATATATATATAACCTGAGTATATAGTGTAATAACTGACAAAATATTTGTTCACTGTTTGATGAACATAATTGAATCGCCAATATGCACACCATATTTTTGAGTACAGCGATGATTCACTCATTTTATTATATAAATATATCACATTACACACTATTGAATAATATTACACCAAAAAACTACGAAAAATCAGAGACATTGAAATAATTAGATAATTATCTCTTTGTGGCAACTCCTGCCTGACAGCTGGCAAGCAACAGACCGCCTGGGACGCACGCTGAGTCAGCGCCTGTTTTTTGCCAGATTTCCCCTCCCTATAGCGGGCAATATATGCCACTTATGATTTTTTTATTATTTTTCCTATGATCAGAGAACACAAATTAACAGGTTTAGAAGAATTTTTTTTTTTTTGTATACGCCTGTGGGTGACAAATGCTCATTAGCCCTGAGCACCACAAGGGTTAACCCACAAGACGACACAGAAATAGACACCTCTAAGGGTGCATTATGGGGTAATAAATGGGTGTCTGAAGACCAGGGGTCAGATTCACAAAGCAGTTACGCAAGTACTTACGAACGTGTACATCTTTCCTCAAACTTTGACTGCTTTGGTTACATTTATTAAACAGTTTACAAGCACAAAAACATCCCAATCAACTGTTGTTATTGTAAGCCTCCTTGTGCTTCCGAGCTCATTAACTGTTTAATAATTCTAAACAAAGCTGCCAGAGATCGAGAAAAGATGTACAGGTTCGTAAGTGCTCACTTTACTACTTCGTGAATCTGGGCCTCAGGATTCAAAATGAACTCAGCTTTTGACCCTTAAACAACACAAACAAATAACCAAATGCAGACGATAAGTCACAATAACGTGGCTGAAGTATGTTGACCAGACAACACACTAGAAAGTGAAGGGACGACGACATTTTGATCCGTCCTGGACCATTCTGAAGTCGATTGTGATGAGGGAATGTTTGTTGTTATAGATTCAGCTACTCGGAACACATTCCAAGTAGCACGGGCTATGCTGCAACCCGTCCTCTTAAAAAATAACGTCGCTTTTGGCTCGTATGCGCGCTATGGCCAAATTTGGACGTAATTTGAAAAGAAATCCACTCACAAAAGTGACGTACTGTTCCGTTTTCTGTTTGAGTCATCCGGCTTACTCGGGAAGCTTAGAAAAGTATTCTTTCCATTAACGTTTTTCATACCATTTTGAAACTTTATGAGAATTTCCTGCCCACCTAACCTATCAGAGGACCCTTAACTTACTGTTGTTGGAAAAAAAAATCCCATATTTATTTTCAATATTTTTTTTATTTTCAAATTAAATCCATATTCGGCCATACGGGCAAACGGCCAAAAGCGACGTTCTTTTTAAGAGGACAGGTTGTATGCTGAGCCCGTAAATTACCAGGCACAGTAGCGGGCCAAGTAGCGTGATGAGGGAAGGAGATGAAGGCAATAAATAGACGAGAGAGAGAGGCGAGGAGCAAGGCATAGGTACGAAAGGTAAGGTGTAGTAGAGGGGATAGTAGTAGGAATAAGAACTGCAGGAGGCCCATTGGCACATACGAGGCAGCTCCTATTTATAACCACCGAATGAGAAGGGGATAGTAATAGGACCAAGAAGAGGATAGCAAGGGAACGTAAGAGAAAACAACAGAAAAAGGAAAGAGAAAGAAAGATAAATACAACCAATACAGTTGGATTCGTTCTCGACTCTCAGTTGAAAATTCTGGGTTTGAATCACAGACAAGAGAACTGGTTGGGCACATTTTCTATCAGCTAACGTCCCTGTTCACCTAGCAGTAAATATGTACTCGGGAGTCAGTAAGCTTGTTGTTTGGGGGGAGGGGTCCTCCTGGGGGAGGGGTCCTCCTGGGGGAGGGGCAGTAGTTGCACCTTCGGGGAGTATGGGGGGGGGGACGTGGATCAAAACCTTACATCAAGGTGGCAGACACGGGTCTCCCCCCCATGGCGGCGGCTCCAACCTCACCACACTGTGTTATACTCCCCAGCCCGCCACCACACATGTGTGAGCCTTGAGCCCAACACCTGAGACCCACCAACCCATCACCTGGAAGCCCTGAGTGAGGCGAGCGAGGAACACTAGGAGGAAGAAGGCCGCTCCCGACGCCACAACACCTGTCATCTTGGAGTGAGTGCCGGCCAAGGCAGCCGCAACTACGGATCTCTCTCCCACTTGTGGTCGCTTCCAACACTGTTACCACGTTTATTATCATTTGTTTTTATTAATAATCTTAGCTGTACACAGCATTGTGCTGCTACCAAATTCAAATTCATTTTTTTATTTAGGTAAAAGTAATACATAGAAGATCAGTTACAAACAATGTTGGAATTTATAGATAGAGCTAGTACATACAATACCTAATTGCCCGAAACGCTATGCGTACTAGTGGCTTTAAGTATTGTATGTACTATCTCTATCTTTAAATCCAACATTATGTATGTAACTCAATGTATGTACCTTTATCTGAATAAAAAATCTAGATCTAACGCTACTAATACGCACAGCGTTTCGGACAGTACGCTATTCTTTATGAAAGATTATACGGTTTAGAGCCAAAACTGTAACAATAAACTTAATACATTAATTGTAAGTGACTCTATATCATCCTTAATTGCTCTCAATTCTTTGAAAAAAAAAAAAAGTTGAGCAGTCCCAGTGGCGTAGTAGTAAGACGCTCGCTTAGCGTTTCGCAAGCGCTTTGTCCTGGGTTCGTATCCTAGCCGGGGAGGATTTACTGGGTGTCAATATTTAACTGTAGCCTCTGTTTACCCAACAGTAAAATGGGTACCTGGTTGTTAAACGATTTGGCGGGTCGTATTCCAGGGAACATATAATTAAGGACTTGCCCGAAACGCTACGCATGCTAGTGGCTGTACAAGAATGTAAGAAATTAACTCTTGTTCTATACATTGTTCAATGTATATATATATATAGAGAGAGAGAGAGAGAGAGAGAGAGAGAGAGAGAGAGAGAGAGAGAGAGAGAGAGAGAGAGAGAGAGAGAGAGAGAGAGAGAGAGAGAGAGAGAGAGAGAGAGAGAGAGAGAGAGAGAGAGAGAGAGAGAGAGAGAGAGAGAGAGAGAGAGAGAGAGAGAGAGAGAGAGAGAGAGAGAGAGAGAGAGAGAGAGAGAGAGAGAGAGAGAGAGAGAGAGAGAGGGAGAGAGAGAGAGAGAGAGAGAGAGAGAGAGAGAGAGAGAGAGAGAGAGAGAGAGAGAGAGAGAGAGAGAGAGAGAGAGAGAGAGAGAGAGAGAGAGAGAGAGAGAGAGAGAGAGAGAGAGAGAGAGAGAGAGAGAGAGAGAGAGAGACACATAACTGTAACATGCTCGTGTGTGAAGCAAGACACAAATAAAACAATTTTATTAATGATGGTAACAGAGTCCATTTCATGTGGTCTCCATATCATGTTGGCCTCCGAATGCATGATAGAGCTGATAAGTTAGCCAAACAATCTGCCTTTAAAGGAGACTTTGAGTGTAACCTTGGATTGTCAATGAGCAATCTAAGAGCAGCAGTACACCGAGAACTTCAACAAAATCTTGTAGATCTGAGGCAAAGTGAAATTGACACCAGTAATTCCATCTATCATCATAATATCATGCAAGAGGAGCCACACATCTATGGTTCATCCAATAAAATCAGCAGACTTCTAGATGTTACTACTGCTCGGCTTAGACTTGGTTACAAGTATCTCTGGGAATTCTCATTATCTGCCGACGTAGACCTGACCAAATGTAAACTGTGTCAACAAAATTATTCGCACACCCTCCGTCACTATGTGATGGAGTGCGAAAAGATGCGTGAATTCAGAGACATTTATATTACACATGTTCCAGAGATGTGTAAATGTTTAATTCAAAAATTAAAATTCAAAAAAATTCAAATTCAAATGTTTATTCAGGTATAGTACATACATACAAGAGGTTATACAAAAATTGATAGATTTATAGATAGAACTAGTACATACAATGCCTAAAGCCACTATTACGCAAAGCGTTTCGGGCAGGAAAAACATTAAAGACGAAAACTTAATACTAATTGAGATTAAAGTATAAAATGTGTCGAGAACAAATAAAAATAAAAAAGGGGGGGGGGACATGTCAGAAAAAACAGCACAAATACAATTAATTCGACAAACAGCATTGTTTAAAAAATAACAGACATGGGTTGACAATATAGGGGTAAGGTAGGTTACAGGGAATTTATTAGGTAGTGTTTAGTTTTTATCTTAAACTGGTTGAGAGAGGTACAGTCTTTAACATGGTTGGGAAGGTCATTCCACATTCTGGGTCCCTTGATTTGTAGAACATTTCTAGTTTGGTTAAGTCGTACTCTTGGAATATCAAAAAGGTATTTGTTTCTGGTGTGGTGCTCATGGGCTCTGTTACAACCTTCAAGGAAGCTTTTGAGGTCAGGATTGGCATTACAGTTCAGCGTTATATATATATATATATATATATATATATATATATATATATATATATATATATATATATATTATATAAATATATATATATATATAATACACATGAGAGGATGTGCAGTGACTTAATATCTAACATATTCAGAGATTTGAGTAAGGATACCGAGTGCTGTTTAGGGCCAGAGTTAGATATTGTCCTAATAGCAGCTTTGTGTTGAGTAATTAGAGGACGTAAATGATTTTGGGTAGTAGAACCCCAAGCACAAATACCATAGTTGAGATATGGATAGGTGAGGGAGTAGTAGAGCGTCACCAGGGCAGGGCGAGGTACATAATATCTGATCTTAAAAAGAATGACAACAGTTTTTGAAACTTTTTTTGATATATTTAGAATGTGTCCCTGGAAATTCAGCTTGTGGTCAATGAGAACGCCAAGGAATTTGCCATCTATTTTGTTACAAATTAGGGTATTGTTTATCCTAAGATTTATTTGATTAGAGGATTTATTGCCAAACAGAATATAGAAAGTTTTGTCAATGTTAAGGGTGAGTGTTGGCAGTTAGCCAAAGATGGACTTTATTTAGCTCAGTATTCACTGTGACATTTAGAGCAAGGGAGTCAGGACTGGAGTAAATGAAGGTTGTGTCGTCAGCAAAAAGAATTGGTTTGAGGTGTTGGGAGGCATTTGGAAGGTCATTAATGTAGATGAGAAAGAGGAGAGGGCCAAGTATGCTGCCCCGAGGAACACCAATGTTGATGGGTAGGGTGGGAGAAATTGAATTATTCACAGAAACATACTGGAGCTTGTCAATGATCTGCTACCAGAAATCTTAGCCAAACTGAGAGGCCAGTTTGCTAAGTGTAGGTAGAAAATGAGTGACTGTAACCTATCCACCGCTGCCCACTGGATGGGTTTGGTGTCCCCTACCGCCCACAGGATGGGTATGGGGCCCACTACCGCCCACAGGATGGGTATGGGGTCCACTACCGCCCACAGGATGAGTATGGGGGTCCACTACCGCCCACAGGATGGGTATGGGGTCCACTTCTGCAGTTGTTGTTGTGTTGATTTAGGGGCGACGACGATCGTGGGATCGGATGCGCCCCGGCTCCCCGATACCAGGACTCCACCCCCAGGAAGCAGCCCGTGACAGCTGACTAACACCCAGGTACCTATTTTTACTGCTAGGTAACAGGGGCATAGGGTGAAAGAAACTCTGACCATTGTTTCTCGCCGGCGCCTGGGATCGAACCTAGGACCACAGGATCACAAGTCCAGCGTGCTGTCCGCTCGGCCGACCGGGGTCCCTATAGTCTCTTCAGGCCATAGACCCTACAATCTCATCAGGCCACAAATTTTACAGTCTCTTCAGGCCACGGACATGACGGATGAAGCGGAAGGTATGGCGAAGGATGTCATGACAGACGTCTTCGTCTCTCGCACCTGCCCCGTCAAGGAGAACGGGAACTGTGAAGCGGGGAATATTCAGCCTACGAACAGCACTCTGTAGTCTGATGCGAGCGCTATGAAATCGAGGGCAGTGAAGAAGAAGGTGTTCCACTGTATCCTCCTGGGTCGGACACCACTGGCAGTATGGGGAATCTACCAGCCGTAGACGATGGAGATGTGCGGCCAGGCAGGTGTGCTCAATCCGGAGACGAGTGATGGCAGTGTCGAGGAGTTGAGAATGATGACGAGTCCATGGACGCGGGGTGGAATCCTCCAGTAGACCCGCCAGAGAGGAGGACCTGAGTGCTGGCTCCATCATTGCCTCCCAACTTGCGAGGCAAGCCGCCCGGAGTTGCGGGAGAATTTCGGAAAGGTCTAGAGGCACATTTGTAGAGTCATGGAGAGCATGCGCCATCCCTGCTGCTGCGTCGGCCACCTCATTGCCTTTAATACCGACATGTGATGGAAACGTTTGGAGATAGATGGACCAACCTGGAGTACCAGAGTATGACAGCAGTTCTCCACGGATCTGTGACACAGTATGACGATGGACTCGTGGACGCCGAGATGAGATCAGATGTAGGGCTGTAACTGAGTCCACGTAGAAAACCACTGCAGAGGGCCCTGAAAGTTGTCGAAGGAGTCGTAAGGCTAGTAAGATTGCAAACAGTTCCCCGGCCAGGCACGAATGAGCAGGGGAGAGTTTCCACGTCTGACAGAAGGAAAAAGGAGCAAAGTATGCTGCCGCAGATGTAGATGGTGGCTGATCTTTGCGGGACCCATCCGTGTAAACCTCCAAGTATCCAGAGTATAAGGAGGCTCGTAGGTCTGCAAAAATTAAAGGGGCCAAACCCTCTAAATCTCTCTTCAAACGAGGAGGCTTGGAAAAGTCGACAGAAACCCGAATGAGCTCTTCTGCCCACGGAGGCACCGATGAGATGATCGGGCCAGGGGTGAGTACAGGGACGGGAAGGGGAAACTGTGAATATGCATCCAAAGCCCGGACGACGAAAGGCAACTGACGACGTCGGGAACGTCCAGCCGGCACATTCCACCAGTTAGCCTCGAGCTGGAGACGAGTAAGTGGATGGGTAGCAGGGAGACGCACTATCCGTTGAAATTGGCGGCAGTGGACGAGAAGACGTTCAAAGCTCAGGGGCCATAGCCCCGACTCGGCATGGAGAGAAAGAACTGGTGAGGAGGGCATAGCTCCTAGCGCTGAGCGAAGGGCACCATTTTGAATGGGATCCAACATTGCCAAGACAGATGCTGCTGCTGAGCCATAGACTTCACTCGCATACATGATCTTGCTATGAATGAAGGCCTTATAGAGAG